CCCTCTGCATACCCTAGACTCTAGACCCTAAACCCCTGAACCCTAAATCCGAATCCTTAGTTTCAAGCCCCTAAACCCTGAACCCTAAAACCTAAACCCTAAACCCGAAGCCTTCAGACAGGACTGGGGCGCTTATAGCACCATGGCCGACTACCAGCGGAACTTCGCCCTGCAGCTGCGCGACGGTTTCCAAAGTTTTCGAGGCCCAGTGTAGCTTGAGATGTTTAGGGGCTTTGGGTTTATGGGGTTTAGGGTCTAGGGTTTAGGGTTTAGGGTTTAGGGTTGTTCATGCCGAAGTTTGTGGTGGCCATGCTTCTGTGAGTGCTGGTGTCGTGCTTGCGGTTGCTATCGCTGTCGCCGGGTTGTTCTGATTACCCTAAACCTAGAACCCAAAATCCTAAACCCTAAACCCAGAACCCATAATCCTAAACCCTAAACCTGAACCCGAAAAGTAGAACCCATAAACCCCCGTCTGCTTCAACAGATCACACAGGCTCAAGCGTCCTACAAGCCGAGCCTAGCATACTTGGCCCGAACCGAACCCTCAAGTTCTTGTATTGTAGAACCACCAAAACGGTATCTGGGTAGTTCTCTAAATTAGGGTCCCTTTGGGGGTCTCTGTTACAAGGGTGCCGTACTATATTGGGGACCCAAAAAAGGGACCCTAATTTAGAAAACTACGACCTCGAAACCCTGAAACTCAAGCCCGAAGCCGTAAAGCCTTATCCCCGCTCCACCCAGTTCTACTCACTTCCCGACATGTTCAAACACCTGAGTTGGTGCTTTAAGGGCTGTCTGGCCTAAACCCTAAACCCTAAACCCTAAACCCTAAACCCTAAACCCTAAACCCTAAACCCTAAACCGTGACCTGAGTTGGTGCTTTAAGTGTGGCTATAGCGACCCTCCATCCCCAAGATCGCGAGTCGGAAATCCAACGCAGGATGGAACTGCAAAAATTCTGATTTTTTTGTTTGTGACGACAGAGCCTACGAAGCCTGAAACCCTTAATCGTAAGCTTTGAAGTATATATGGCCTAAAAACCAAAAGTCCACAAGCCCTAATTACGCCGGAAGAGCACTCGAATCCTGCAGGACGCTACGAGAACTACGACCTCTCAGACCCTTGGCCTGCCTGGGGCTGTCTCGACATGGCAAAATTAAGAGAAGGACTTCGCGAACAAGCTTTCAGGAATCTGTCGAACAGAGCCTTTCTTCCCCAAAATGTAGGATTCTCGGTTTAGGGCGTTTAGGGTTTAGGGTTTAGGGTCTACCTGGGCTCTTGGACCCGGTTCCAGCCTAGCATCCGGAGCGCGAAGCCGTCATCCCGGTCCCGACGACCAGAGGACCTATACAACACCTCCAAGCTTTTGGCAAGTCGCTCGGGAGGCATGGAAGGGGGCTGCTTGAAGTCACTTAGGGGCCGAGTTGGTAACCTTGAAGCTTTTGCAGACTTATACCATCCCTAAACCCTAAACCCCAAACCCTAAACTCCAAATACCATTATAACTTGAATGTTTAACCTTTTTTGGGCTAGGGGTACTCAGCCCCTAAGGTGAAGCTGCCTACCGAGTTGCTTTGGGGTTTCGTGTGGTTTCGTCGGGTTTGCGGTGCCTCGGTGGATCTTTGCTATGATGATGATGATGATGATGATGATGATGAAGCATCTCGGCCCGAGCCTTTTAAGAAGCTCCCAACATGGCGCACGCGGCGCTGCGACTGCTTTTGGCGTTTACAACACTACTGCTGAGAACATTCGAAGTGCAATATAGTGTTATGCCTGGAACTGGTCAGGAGGAGTTTTTCAATTATGGGGGCCGCCGGGGTCCCAAGTCCC